TGGGTGTTGGGGGTGTAGATCCAGACAATGCCATATGGTGCTGGTAGCCATGCTACAAGGCACGATTTGCCTCTCCCCAAAAGTGAAGGGGGAGTCTTTCAGTCAACTCCTGTTGAATAGCTAGGCTCTCCCAGAATTGCATGTTTCAGTTCCCACACCTGGTCCAAATCCAACTGGTCAAAACATGAACAGACCCCTTGCAAATGTTTAAGGCAGCGGTTCTCAACCTGGGGGTCACAACCCTCTCACAGGGGTCACCTGATTCATAACAGTAGCAAATTACAGTTCTGAAGTAACAATGAAAATAATTTTATGGTTTGGGGGGGGGTCACCATAACATGAACTATATTAAAGGGTCGTGGCATTAGGAAGGTTGAGAACCACTGGTCTACAGCAAAGCACTCTGGGTTCAGTGGTCCCACCCACTATTTAAACTAAAACATTTGCTCCTTGAAATCTCTTTTCAAAATATATATGCATCTATACTGGGGAAATCACATGCAATGAAGAGATTACGTCAAATCATGTTTATAAGCCACCACTTTAAAACTCAGCTTAAAACCCTGAATCCAGTTCATAATATCACTAAAAGACAAACTTTAACAAAGTAAATAATATTTGTATGAAGAAAACTATCTTTATTAAAGGACATAAAAGAAAATTTAAATGTTCATAGCCATTATTAGAAAACTAATTTTTCTTTTTTTTTTAAACTCATTTTTCTTAAAACAAATTTGTCACAATCCAAATAGCACCCCCACCCCCGGAAATGTGTGTGCTACTCCTAAAATCGATTTGAAACATTAAATATGCAAGAATAACCAAACATATAAAAACATAACGTGAAAGGCCTTGTCATCCAAAAGCGAAACATACTATAAACCTTTCCCATCGAGCTGATGCTGACTCATAGCAATTCTATAGAATTTCTTCTTAGGATTTCCAAGACTGTATTGTAAATAATCTTTATAGGAAGACAGCCTCATCTTTCTCCTGCGGAGCAGCTGGTAGGTTTGAACCGCTAGTCTGTGGTTGGCATAGCAATGCTTAACCCAAAGTGAGCCTAAGGCTACAACACATACTATAAATTTCAATAAGCCACTCACTGCCCTGAAATCGATTCTGACTCAGAGACCATATGGGACAGTGTAGAACTGCCCTTATGTGCTTTGGAGACTAACTCTTTAGGGAAGTAGAAAGCCTCCTCCTTTCGCCTGTGGTGCAGCTGGTGGTTTATAACTGCTGACCTTGTAGTTAGCAGCCCAATGAGCAACTACTATTCCATCAGAACTCCTAAAACATACTACAGAGCTATTATAATTAAACAGGGATCTGTCATGAAAGAGTTCAAATCTAGGATTCTAGAAGAAATACAAACCAGCAGGGAATTTGTTGTGAATTAGATGATTGAGTTCCTTTTTGATGGCAATTGAGTTTTAAGTAACAACCAATCTGAAGGGGCAAGATCAAGGCTAAGGTTTCTCAAGGAAATTCTCCTAGCATAGCCCTTGCTGCCCTCAAATAATGCCCACGGGATTGCTTGTTGACACAAAGTTCCTCAGCACAACTTTCATGGCCTGTATCTGAATGATGCAGTTCTCAATTTTCTTCAAACTTCTTCACACCAAACTTCCATCCTTGCAAAGCTACATTATCCCTTGGGAATCCCTGAAGGCTCTCTCCATAATCTGAGCTGATCTCTTTGCCCTGAATTGAACTAACCCAGCAGTCTTCTTTTGGAAAGCAGTTTGATTGGACTTCCTGGCGCCTCCTCCTGCTTTTCTTGAGACAATCCAATGAGACTGCTACCTGCAAGGTTAGTGGTTTAAACTACCCTGCTTCCCCGAAAATAAGACCTAGTTTTGCCTCTCGCTGAAAAGACACCCCCCCCCCAGCACCGAAAATAAGGCCCCCCAAAGCTACTATATCTCTGGACCATAGAGGCAGGTGCCACCGCGCAGCTGTTAGCAGCAGCACTGCCAGTGCAGACAGTAAGTGCGGGGTCTATTTTAATAAAACAATGTGTACCATATTCTTCATGGAAAAATAAGACATCCCCTGAAAATAAGACCTAGTGCATCTTTGGGAGCAAAAATTAAAATAAGACACTGTCTTATTTTGGGGGAAATTAAAATAAGACACTGTCTTATTTTCGGGGAAACAGGGTAGTTGCTCCGAGAGGCGGCTATCAGCAACTTGGAAAAAAATTTTTTAGTCTTGGTAACCTTATATAGGGTTATGAGCTGGAATTGACTCTGACACTGGGACTGATTCTTGCTGATGAGATTTCTATCAGTAAATTATTGAAAGACCTTGTCTATAGCCATTCGCTATCACTGATGTGTATAGATGTTTTGTTTGGAACAAACCTGTGCATGTCTGAGCTGGAACCCTAGTAGCAATACTTGTCAACTTACCCTCATACATTTAGCTTCACTGAAATGGAGTTATTATCCCTGGTGCAGAGTAGCTAAAGCACCCAATGGCTAACCGAAATGGTGTCTTGAACCCACCACAGGAAAAAGTGACACTGTTCCCATAAAGACCGTGGTGACTTTATCAAGCAGTTATACTTTGTCCTATAGTTACTATGAGTCAGTGGGTTTGGTTACTGACATGCATTCAACAAATGAAGCTTGCCACCTAAAGTACCCAAGTCAAATGGTTTCTTTAAAGTTGTACAACCACGATCATGTACATATTTTTCTTTTTGTCTATATGATGGACAGAATAAGTAATCCCAAGGAGACAGCAAAGGGACGGACATTGGAAGAGGGGAGTGTATGGGAGAGGAAGAGGCAAGGAGAGAGGAGCGGTGCACCAATAACAGGGACAGGGAAATAGAAAGGGATCTAAAACTGATGGAGTGTGTACCATTCCTCATCATGTTTTATCAATTGAAATGTATCTGAGGTAAATATTACTGGTAACACGATGGTGGGGCAGGAGGAAGGAAAAAAGAACAAGCAAAAATTGAGATATAAATATAGGTACCAAACAAATCAAACTCACTGCCACCACATTAGTGCTAGTAGCAACCCTATAGGACAGGGTAGAAAGGCCCGAGTTCCAGAGGCTGTAACACGAACTGAGGTAGAAAGTCCCATCTTACTTTGAATTGCTGACTGCAGCCCAGTTTGTAAATATTTCCTGACATTGTACACTTTTGTGCAACTTACATTTTTTGCAAAATAGATCCTAAACAGTCTTGTTTGGGTTTGTTGACTTCATTGTTGCAAACTAAGTATACAATCTTTATCTTTTCATCCCCACAAATAGAAAATCTTCCGTGCCATGTATGACTACATGGCCGCTGATGCAGATGAGGTATCCTTCAAAGATGGCGATGCTATTGTCAATGTTCAAGCTATTGATGAAGGCTGGATGTACGGCACCGTGCAGAGGACCGGTAGAACTGGAATGCTTCCAGCCAACTATGTTGAAGCTATTTAGGTGCTCCAAAGCACTGACCACTCTTCTCTATCACCCAAGTTCTAAAACTACTGCCTACTTGATTGTGCCAACCTTAATGTGGTTTTCCATGTTAACCCTACTAAATTTCCCAGTAAAACAGATGCTTCCATCACCAACGTTTGCAAGTAAGCTAGATTTCCTTTCCTATGTGGACTTACACATAAAAACTTTCTGGATTTGCAACATCAAACCTAAAGTGTTTTTTTTAACTGGTACTATAAGATTTCCTGGATTTTAAAACTTTGGAAAGATACTGCAATTTTCTTGTTCGATCAACACTTAGTCTCTTTCCACTATGAAAATTTTTCTAAAACAGGGATGCTTAGCATACTAAACATTTAAGATGGCAGTCACCTTTTCCTTGCTTACCGATTGCTGATGCTTGTATTTCAAATCTAGAAAAGCTGGTATTTAATGTAAACTGAAATTGGTAACTAATAAAATCTATTGTGCAACAAGCCCCACCGATGAATGAGCATTTTTAGTGGTCAAGATCTATAAAAAATATGTTACAATAAAGTTCAAATCATGTCTACCACCAGTTGTAAAGATGGACCCTTAGTGACCAGATACTTACAATGTCCATGAATTGCAATTTAGCTCAGTTCTGAATAACCAATACTCATGGCACCCTCTTATATGCAATGAAAAATACTGTACTATTCTTTTAATACTTCTATGGTTTCAGGAATTCATGTTCTCCAAAGGTGGTGATCCCATCCCCCTAGGGTAGTGGTTCTCAACCTCTTTTTTTTTTTTTTTGGGGGGGGGGGAGGGTCACCTGCTTCATAACAGTAGCAAAATGACAGTTATGAAGTAGTAACAATAATTTTATGGCTGGGGGGTCACCACACCTAAACTGTATTAAAGGATTGTGGCATTAGGAAGGTTGAGAACCACTGCCCTAGGGGGGGCAGTGAATAAAAGGGAGGAAGACAAACTGCAAAAGCAGATACCTATACTTTACTCTGGATTATAAACTACAGTATAATTCTTTTTTCTTTCCCAGGGAGGCAAATTTTGGGGAACCAATGCCTTAACTATAAAGGAGAGACCTAGAAAAGTGGGTCATAAAAAGTATGAATGCTTCTCATGTTTATGGAGAGATTGAAGTTCAATTATGCTGGTAATTGTATTGCTCACCAACACACACAAATATACCACAAACAAAAAGTTACAGAATTGTTGACATTTTATAGCTTTATTTCAGATAAAAGTGCATTTCTCCAAAAATGTTAAGGTATCCAGTTTTGACTCGCAATTGATTTAACAATCAGCTCTCAATAATTCATTTAAGGTTTTATTGTGGATCAGACAGATTCTCCATTCCTCAACCCAATCATAACCAAATAAGAAAATATACTAAATTAGTATAGGCCTACAACTTCAAGAGCTGTGTAAAACATTACGCAATCCAATAAAATAAACTGCACTCCTCTTTCCCATCTACCAGTGCAGTTAAGGGTTGAATAGTCATTGTACAAGTTTCAACACATCATTTGAAAGACTTATCAAATATAAATATTTTGTCACTGTAAAACTAATCTCTCGAGTTTATCAAGTGACGAGGACAAAAAAATAGGGTTAATAAACGACTGATTTGGCTCCTATCAGTCTTTTTCTAAGTGCATATTTGTCAAGTCTATCCACAGGAGGTAGTGTTAAGATAGGTTGAGTTAACTTACCAACACAGAGCTTTAAACACTTGATACTCCCATTTATTTCACAGGCGTAATTTAATGTTCAGAAGACATTCTTGGTGTCTCTGTAGCACAAGATGCCTTTCCTCCTGACCATTAAGGTCCCTTAATAGTCATAGCAAATATATAACTGTTATTTGAGAGTTAAATAAGGGGGTGGGGGGGAAGGAGAGTATATACTTTAAGAATACAAATATCCTAATATAGGTCTACTTGAATGTTAACAGACAGGAATAGAATCTGGGGAAACATTTTATAAACCTAAACAGTGGTAATACAATTAAGGAATGTTATCAAAAACCCCACTGTACCAGCCAGAAGTAAATAACAAATCGATGGACTGTTTGCCACAGGTGAATAAAGCTATTCTGTATTAACAGGGTCTGGCGGACTTTTCCTGTAAAAGGCCAGATAATACTTTAGAATTGGCAGGTCATGCAGTCTCACAACTACTGAGCATGAATGAAAACATAAAATGATGAGCATGCTTTTTCGATAAAACTGAAATTTCAAGGATACAGATTTTAATTTCATATTTCTATGTGCCACAAAATAGTCCTTTTTCAACCATTTAAAAATTGTGAAAGCCACTTTAGGCTCCTGGGCCATGTGAAACAAGTGGCAGGCTGCCATTCCTGCTCTATAAAACTTACGGGGCAAGACCATATCCTTTAGTTTCTGTACTCAAAAGTGATTCGACTCAATTCTATATTCCTTTACAAATTCCTTGATGTATAAAAATATTCTGTACTTATTATAGTACTATGTATCAAAATAGTAATTACCTTATATTTTCAGTTCCATGACACTATAATTTGGTCAGTTAACTACAAGTTACCTATTGTTGGAAACTATTAATATATTGCTTTTAGGGTCAGGGCATCTATTTTTGAGTAGTTACACTTGTAATAATTACTGATGGTATTTATGAGCATCAATTATGGTTGTTATGTATAGCACAGCTCTCAAAGACCACTGGTTGCCAGTTACTGAAAAATAAGGTAATTTCCCACAACTTTCTGAGGTCACCTTGTATAAACTGTATTATTCGCCTAAATGCTTTATTAATATTTTGGCTCAATGTCTTTCCCCTTCAATGCATCACTTCTCAATCCACCACAATCACTATCAACATATAAATACACTGTCTAATAAGCTTCTATAGACCCTTCTTGATTCTAACATCAACCATGGAAAATACAGACGTCAGATTTACAGCTGCAGGTAGAAGATTATTTTTTATTTTAATGGTTAATGTTTGGTTTTAAAATATCTTTTGAGAGCAAAAAGCTTGGTACTATGGGTATATTAAGGGAAAAAATGGCCGGGAAAGACCACATTGAAAATTTTAATATTCTACTCCAAGAACCGAAAAAACTCTGTTAAACCAGCATCAATTATCTTTAGGCCAGCAAACCCAAATAACTGAAGTTTAAAAAAAATTATATAAGGAAGCTTCAAATAGTTCATGGAAAAATGCTAATGGCCTTTTAATCACATTTTTCATTAATTTTTGAAGCCCCCTTGTACAAACCTGTTACATAATGTATTAATTCACCAGAAATACATGTCCAATTTTAACATACAGGTAAAAGCAGTATGTGCTGATTTGCCCGTTAAATAGCCTCTTTTCTTAACTCCGTTTTGGATGTGGGCACTTCTTAAAAAAACAAGGTGTAAATAAATATGTAAGAAATATAAACGACAATAACCTCAAGAGAATGCCAAGAAAAAGTTAACCACATTAAACCACATTAGAGTAAATAGATCTGATACCTGTGAGATATTAAAGTATTCCCAAAGGGGCCAGATTTGATAATAGTTTTAAGAATTCTGAACTTTAATCCAAACACTTTAAAATCAGTCTGCATTCCCAATTCATATACTAGTTAGAAATATACTACCTTTAATCATAAGAATTTGAATCTAATTTACAGCTTGAAGTCTTGTGGGTACACAGCTAGACTTCAAATATCAGTAACCACGCCACCTAGAGACTTATTAGAAATGCAGGTCCTATCTCAACCAGAATTTACTGAATCAGAAGCTGCATTTTATCAAACATTTCCAAGTGTGAGAAACACTTGTCAAAACTTGTCTAATATTTACTCTAAAATCTTAGAGGGAAATGTATATGGGAGTAAAGACAGTCATGTCTTAGCCGAATTTCAACATGTTGTTTTATGGACTCCCAGACTGGCTAATACATTTATTTACCTCTCTAAAAACCTTTTCTGGAGAATATGCAGTGAACTTCTGCCCCTCCTCACTGATTGGCAATGTTAAAGTGGAAAGAAACAACTTTAAAAGAGATATATAACCCATTTAATTAATTTGTACTTTAGCTAAAGTTTGAACTAAGCTAGTTCTTAACCAGCATTTTCACTTATTCTCAGCCTTTTACCTTAAAAGAAAAAACACACTCCAAATATATTTCCCTTGTGTACAAGGGGGCTTTAAAATGTTTGTGGGAAAATTAGATTAAAATATAATTTGTCCTTGAACTGCTGAAATCCTTTTGTATTCTGGACACCCTACCATTTTCACCCATTAATTTCATTCTAGGCATAGTATTGATCCCAGTTTTATGGTTCTTAATTATGCAACAAAGCCCTTACTTCTAAGCTTATCTCTAGGCTGAACCAATTCATAGGCAAATTTAGGAACTGCCATGACCATGAAGCTCAGGTTTAAATCCAATTTGAGTGTGTTATCTTAGGGCATTATTACATAATCTGATTCCTTCTGTATTATCTGAACTCAATGATTTGTATACTTCAATAATGGCTCTCAGCGATGCTCAAATTGCAGAATACCTTTAGTAATGTAGCCAACAGAAACACTGAAAATTTGAATGCACTTTGAAATCCAAAACACATTTCATAGAAATGAAAAATTATACTGTACCATGCATGCTCCTAGATTTTTGGAAAAAAATCTAAGTCAGTTTTGAGTGTCCTCATGTACAAATTTGCCAGATTTGTTAGAAACATTAAAAAAATATATCTTAATGGAGTTACCACCACCACAACACTGAAGCTGATAATAACACGAAGACTTTCTTCTTTCTATTCAGGAAGCAACCAGGGGGAAATGTGCAGAAAACACATAAGGTACGAATTTAAGTATCTCAAATACAATCTTAAGACAATAGCAACAATGGAAATTTGGCAAGCTGGTCCTTTCTCCCAAATATTAAAAAATACACCCATGCCGAATCACGCTTTTAAATTGTTATCTGTGCATATATCAAACTCAGTGATTAGAGTCATTTGTTCCCATTTCTGCTAATTGGCTCAGCTCCCCCCAAACTTCACCCCACAGGCAATGTTAGTTCACACAAATATTAAGACACACCAGTCCCAAATCCAGCCGAGTTTGCTGTGACCTTGTTATTTTGAACCTATCTCCTTGAGCACACCGATCTATAAACCCTTCTTACTGCTTGCTGTTCACTAGAACCCGCCTGTTTCTTTACACTGAAATGTAACTTGGGAAATCAGTTGTAAGTGCTGTAACTCATAATTATAATTTCTCATTAGTCATTTCTTCAAGCAATATTTGGTTCAGTTCTATTTATTAAAGCCATCTTCTCTCGTTTTATGAACAGCGTACTCAGAGCCAAAAATTTATGACTGAAAAAGACAAGAATTTTTGATAGTGGATGGGTAAAGGTCCCTTCTGAATATAAGAATACTATCTACACACAAGGATTATCTGTAACTATGGCGTCAGTGGTACTGTAATTCAACCAAATAATATAACTTGCTATAACTTCTAAAGAATGTGTGCTTTTCAAAAAGGGGACAGGTTCAAATCGACTATAAAACAGAACATTTACTCAATAGAGAACAAATGAGAAATATTCTGTTAAAAAGGCAAAACCTAGAGATGAGAAGTTGGGCAGTAATACTAGTTGGTAAAATTTACAAATGTTTTCATTACTATATACACCCTCTACTTTTCAAAGTGAAACAGAAAAAAGAACAGCTTCAAATTTCTTCCAAGAAATTGCTTTATAGGTGAAAAGTATAGACAAACATTAGACTTTTTATAGTCCTTTTATAGTCCAAGTAGCAATTGAAAATAATCATCTTGCCATTAGGAAATGTAAAGAGGCACTCGTTCTAGTGACTGATAACCCTCTTCAAACAATAGTAGTGATCAAAAAAAGTAGGGGTTTTTACAGTCAACTTATTTTTGTAATTTCACTCATTCTGGTTACTCCAGATAATAAATTGATGTTTTAACTAAGAAACAAACTATTTGCTTTAGTTGAAGATAGAATCCTTTAAACACTTGTAGCAGGCCCATGGAGCACCTATCCTGTCCATACCGTTAACATGGTATTGTATATACAAAGTGTTTCTATTAAACAAAATCAAGACATTCACAAAAAGCTGCAGAAAAACTCGTGCAATTAACAAAAGCTGAAATTTATAAATTAAAACACTGTGATCTATACATAATGTACAAACAGTCATTTAAAAATGAATCCTATGTGTCTAAGGGTAAATTTTCACAAGCAAATGATGCTGCACAAATATTTGCTAACGCAAACAAATGAAATCTTAGTAAATTCTGCATTAATATTTTAATCCCAAAAGTTAAGACTTTTGGCACGTTTCTTGAAGATCGTAGAAATCTTAACACTTGCAAAAACATCACAACTCTTATCTCTTTTGAGGTGTTTTACCAAGAAAAATTTTCTTAAAACTTCAGACAGAATATGAATAGGAAAATGAAGTATGAACACCTTTCAACAACTCAGCAATAATTCAAATAAAAAAATTTAAACTTTAGAGTATTTTATAATAAATGTTTCTCCAGGATATGTACGAGTTTTTGAAAATCTGAAATAGATGTATACTTCTGTTCCTGATTTTTGCTTTCATATCTCAGTAAAACATTTAAATTCTTTCAAAAACTATGCATAGCAGCTTAGAAAACATTTTACAGGGGAACACCGTGATCTTACATGAACAAACTCAGAGGTCATTACCCTCAGGGTTTGAAACGCAAGCAACCAACCTTGCAAACACGGTTTCTTCCTTCTGAAATTGTGCTATAGTTTATAACTTGTTTATTCAATCCACAAAATAGCGATGTTATTGTAACTTCCAGTTTCTCCTTAAAATACTAAGAATCTTCATGGACTGGTGACCTCCAACGTGACTGTAAATTTTTAATGATTGAGTTTGCCATGCCACCAAGTTTCTCGTGCATTTCAAATAGTTGGCTTCCCGAATATTTATGGAGATCTTCTGCATTTAGCTGAAGGGCAAGTGCACTGATCTGTGCCATGAGATTTTTAGATAGTGGGGATTCTAAAGGAACAGGATCAATCAAATCTAAAAGGGAAAAAAAAAAGTCAAATCTATACTACACATCTTTGAATATACAGCCATTAAAAACTATAGCTATGGATTGTAATTTTCATGAAAGATGATCTGACTTCCATTTACTAGCTCATTCAAAGCATATAGGAAAAAGCACTCCTACCTAAGTTACTGGGAGCCCTAGTGGCATAGGGAGCAGCTAAGCATGGAGCTGCTTGCCCCAAGGTCAGTGGTTTGAGCTTAACACTTGCTCCATAGGAGAAAGGTTGATACCTTTTGCTCTTGTGAAGATTTAGTCTCAGAAACCCCAAACCCTCTGAGGGTCGCTATGAGTCAGAATGGACTCAATGGTAGTGAGTTTTGAGTTTTCTATGTTTCAAATTTAGAAACCAAGTAGGCAAAAATAACTATGTTTGTGGTCAGGAAAAAGACAAAAAACTACCTAGCACAGCGGCTCTCAACTTGCAGGGTTGCAACCCCTTTGGGGGTAAAACGACCTGTTCACAGGGGTCACCTGATTCAAAACAGTAGCAAAACTAGTTATGAAGTATCATGAAAAATATTGTGACTGGGTGGGGGTGTCACCACAACATGAGGAACTGGATTAAAGGTGATGGCATTAGGAAGGTTGAGAACTGCTGATGTAGCATAACCTACTCTGTGCCATTAGATAACCAAACTACTTTTAGAAACTGAAATGGTATATCGTTTCCATTCATATTTGAGACTTAGATGAGCACGAGCTAGCAATTAGAGATAAACAGTAAGATAACTCAAAATTAAATTAGCTATTTTTTCAGATGTCTGACACATTAAAAGTGAGCTCCTAAAAAAATTAACGCATTTTGATAAAATAATACCTGAGGCAAGTTTTTCTTCATCAGCAGAGGGGGACTTATTTTCTATTCCATTTAATGTTTTATCTGAAATATCAAAAACTGGAATCTCTTCAAGCCCACGAGACTTTACCTTAATCATACAGTTCAGGTCAGTAGGAGAGAAAAAAAAAAAGACAAAGTTAAAATACATGACAAGCAGCACTAACGCTGGACAGTGTAAGATATGACAAAATAATAATTTATAAATCATCAAGGGTTTATGGGGGAGTGTGGAGCCGGAAGGGAGGGGGAAAAAAATGAGGAGTTGAAACCAAGGGCTCAAGCAGAAAGCACATGTTTTGAGAATGATGATGGCAACAAATGTACAATGTGTTTGACACAATGGATGGATGGATTGTACGAGCCCCCAATAAAATGATTTAAAAAAAAGAAAAATGGAATGAAAAGATAGTGGAATTTGTCCAAAGCCCCTTTTGTTTGCTCCACACTTTTTACGATAACTTTAAGCTAATTAATATACTCCAGAAAGTACATTTTATTAATCTATGAGCCAGTAGGAAATTTTTGGTATTTTCAAGTAGTTGTCTAGAAACACTGACATAGAAGTGAACACTCACTTTCTTAAACCTTCTCAAGGTCCATGGTGTACTGAGAAAACACCTCAAGAAATTAAACTAGTTAACAAAAAAGAGCCCTGGTGGCATACTGGTTACTTGTTGGGCTGCTAACAGCAAGGTCAGCAGTTTGAAACCACCAGGGCAGCCCTTCAGTGGGAGAAAGATAGGGCATTCTACTCCAGTAAAGATTAGTCTAGGAAACTTACAGGGCAGTCTTACTATAAATTACAACAGATCCCATAGTGGTGAGTTATTAAAAGTTCACAAACCAAATATAAAATTAAAGGCTTTCCGTATTTTTTCATTTACTCCTAACTTTTTGTCACTGGATACAGAGGGTATTTGTATGGGCTTCATGAGATAATTCTTATAAAATTACATACAAAATTTTCTGCACTTTTAGATACATAGGGAAGAATCTATGATTCCATTAGTACCTGGAAAAAAAGAAAGCCAGACTTGCTACAGATTAAAATAAAAATATAACTACAAATTTCTAAGTTTTTAATAAATGTGTGGCTTCAAACATTAAAGTACTAGGAATACTAATATGGAAACAAGTATTTACAGAAGTGAGAAGCAGAATTGAAAAAAAGACAACTAAAAAAAATTTGTGGTGCAATATATTTTAAAAGTACCAAATGAACAGATAAGAGCTTTTGATACCTGGAATCCAGGACACTTAATCCCCTCAGGACCAGTAGCAAGAGTAAGCTATACCGTGGGGGGTGGGGAAGTGGGGGCTGATCACAAGGTTGGATATATAACCACTACCACCCCAACCCACCCAGGGGGATAGATAATAGAAATGTGGGTGAAGGGAGACAACAGACCATGTAAGACATGAAATAATAATAATATATAGTTGATGAAGGATTCATGAGGTGGAAGGGTGTGGGGAAAAAAGGAGAGCTGATACCAAGGGCTCAAGTAGAAAAAGTTTTGGAAATGATGATGGCAACATATATACAAGTATGCTTGATAGAACTGAGTTATGAATAAGATCTGTAAGAGCCCTCAATAAAATGACTAATAATTTTAAAAGTACCAAGCGAAAAGACTTCTTTAGTTATGAAGTGACCTTTAAATGAAGTTACTTGTGAGTAAAAGGAGAAAAGAGGCCATAAAATTCTAGATTTTAAAATATAAGTGCTATAATCACATTGCTACAGATTTATGCAGAGTTGGTAATAAATAGCCACTGATAATTTTACCTGCTGCTCATGATATATTCTGAGAGCCTTTTTTACATTGGACACTTTAGGAGAACGGATAGGAAGAGTTTTTATTTCAGATGCTGTAAGAGTACTCAAATCACCAATTGTTTTTATATTCTTGGCTCTAATGAGTTGTCCCAGGCCTCTTGCCCTTGAAAGAATGAGGAAGATAAAAAGGAAAACTGTTATACTAAGTTAGTTTGTTTATATTCTCTTTGTAAAAGCTTATCAACTTGGAAGTTATTTATTTAAGCTCTAACATAACTGAATTTACACACTCTTGTGTAAGTCCAGCCTGATCTAAGCCTGCATTCCAAGATAGGTAAATGTGTGTTTAAAATGAAACTTGAATCTGATGTGCATGCCTAGATTATTTTATTGGTTTGCAATCCGTAGTACAATTGTACTGTCAATGCTCAGCAGGCAGTATTGCTTTATGATAGAATCTAGGGTCAAGATTATAGATCACTTAAAATAAACTTTTGGAATAGTCACACACACACACACACACACACACACACACACACACACGCACACACACACAGATTATAGATCACTACAGTCAGGCTGGGTACAAACAACAATGCTTGACTGGTTGGCTTAACCATCATACCATGTTAAGATCAAGTCTCACCATCCTTGCCTCTAAGGAGCCACTCTTTGACTATACTTCTTCCAAGGCATATCTGCTTGTTCTTTTTAAAGTGCAAACACACGGTGCTTTCAATATTCTTCACCTGCACCATTAATTCAAATGCAGCGATTCTTCTTTGGTCTTTCTTATTCAATGTTAAGTTTAACACATGAGGCAATGGAGAAATACCATGGCTTGGGTCAGGGGCACCTTGGTCCCCAAAGTGAATGTTCTTGCTTTTCAACATTTTCAAGGTCTTATGCAGATTTAACCAATGCAATGCTGCTTTGACTTCTTGATTGCTGTTGTTTCCATGAGCATTAATTGTGGCGGGTGATGCAAGAAGAAATCCTTCACAACTTCCATCTTTTCTCTTTCGATCATGTTACCAATTGGTCTAACTATTATAAATAATTCTCTTATTGCTTGACCTGGCCTACTTCAAGAATGCACTCTATATTTCTAAAATAGGCTCAAGGAGTATACAGCAGAACCCCGGACCTTAAGACTAATCTTTTTTCGAAGGAGCATCGAGATGTGATGCAGTCGAGTCCTGAATCAATTTTTCCCATAAGAAATGACTGAAAAAGGACTAATCCATTCTCAACCACCAAGTTTTTACCCTAACTTTATATTTATAGACAAAACATTACAAAGTAATTAAGTTCTGAGTTAAATAATTTAAGTAAGAAACACAACATTAAAAGTTTTTAACTAAATGGAGAGAAAATGTTTTGAGAAACGATGTACAAATGCGCTTTACACAATTGATGTGTGTATGGATTGGGATAACAGTTGTATGAGCCCCTAATAAAATGTTAAAAAAAATAAAATAAATAAATAAATAAAAGTTTTTAACAGCTACAGTATGGCCCATACCTTGAGATTAAAAAAGGTCTGGGGACACGGATGTGGAGAGGCGGTATGGAGAGAGTCATTGTTTGGAAAGGGAATTCCCTTCCATAAAATAAACTGGTAGCTGCTTTTCAGTTTTTCCCCTTCTTTGTCTTTTTTTCACTAGGACGTGGCTGGCTTTCTCTTTAAAAAAAATCTAATATAGTCTGCTGTTGGCATTTCCTTAACTTGTTTTCTAAAAGAGTTTACTAAATTATCACCAACAATATCCATAACACGATTAACCAGTTCCTTATCACGATTCTTTTCCAAAAACTCTTTCTTAGGACCCATTTTTTAAAAAAAAAATCTAAAAACTGTACAAAAAGCCACAGAAACTAAGAAAATTGTAACACTTGGAACATAGCCACAAAAGGTTTAAAGAACACCAACCAACTCTAAATGACCAAAACACGATCTGCTTTTGTTTACAAAAATCGTTGTCGGGTTGCATTCCAATGTTTTGTTCAAGCTCCGATGAAAAATATTCCTAACCTTTGTGTCTGATTATATTGAATGCTAATGCAGTCGAGTACCGGGTTCTACTGTATTAGTCCTAAATATGAGAGCCCGCACAATTAAATTATTTCTCTTAAATTAAGTGACATTTTGTTGTTTAAGTCAGAAACATAAACAAACACTTACCACATGTTTGATGTAATCTGAGGTAAAATGATATCAACTGGTGCCACACAGTTCATCAAAGCAGGGTAAATACTTTCTGTTGGGCATGGGATTGATTCTTTAGCCATTTCTACAATCTTAAAATAAATTTGTAAAACTGTTAAAAAAAGATCACCTGGCTGAACATAAAAATATAAAGTTACACAAAAACTAAAGCACTTCTTACTAAACACTTCTTTGAGCTCTTAAATTTAGGGCTACGTGATCCTGGGGATAGAATTCCTTTGGCTGAAGTGGTATTATGCTAGACAGAAGGAGAGAAAAAACACTCACTCAGAACCCTAGATGACTTTATATTCACACCTAGACCAACAATTTCTTTCACATTTCAGAAAACATTTGTAAATGAATGGAATAATCAACTGCCTAATCTATTACCTGGCTGGAATTACAATCACAATTTTTCACCAGGTTTTATCTACTTACCATGATGCAAACAAAATACATACAAATCAAAGATATTTTACTTAAAGCCAAATCACTCACATGTGATTTGTGCGCCTCTATACAGGCATCTCTATACATAACAGCCAATGGCTTACCTTAGATTGTGCAATAGGTGAAGTTTTAACACTTTTTACTATAGGAGAACTATTTGAAGAATGGGACCTAACAACAGAGCAGCGCCTATCAATGTCATCTGCCAATCCTGCTTGGTATATGGGATCTGCAAAGGAGACACGGCGAACCTGAAAACACAAGTTGTTTTCAAATTTTAAATTAACAATAAAGGCTAAAATCATAAATTCTCCTTAGGGGGATAAAATATAGTAGTTTAGAACCTTAATTTATTTTTTACTAACAACAAACTGCACCAAGTACAGTTGCTCTTCCTACAGACAGTTTCAATCAATACTGCTCAATACCACCAACGCACTCCTACACTGTTCCTGTAAAATATAGCATAAGGGTTAGGAATAATAGAAATCACACATGGTGGTAGAAGTCTTTTCTAAAAACTTATGCTTACTGTTTTTAGTGTATATACAGGAGTATATACACATTTGAGAGTTAATTAGCATCACTAGCATGATTCTAATTCACACATGCAGATTTATTCCAAATAAAATTTATTTAATAATCAGTGGATGCCTGTAGATAAATTATCTCAATAATATACTGGTTAAAAAAAAATCATTTTATGGAGCTCTTACGGTGCTTACAACATTCCATACATCAATTTTATCACGCATACTTATACATATGTTGCCATTATCATTTCCAAAACATTTTCTTCTTGAGCCCTTGGTTTAAGCTCTTTCCCCATTCTCCCCCACCCAATACACTGGGTCCTAAAAGTCTCTCTTGGCTGCTTTCGACTTTTCAGATGTGACAAAAGGCATCAGGAAAAGATAGGCTAGCTGAAAGTTTTTGTTTTAAATAAGACCAACGCTGTTATCTCAAAGAAGCTTGAATTTACCAATGCAACCCAGATAACAAGTGGCTTCTGGGATGATCTGCTGATCCAGTTAAATTCAAGGCACAGAGGTTAATTCAGAAGGTTTGGCAATTAATTTCAGGGACTTCAAAAGGGGTCACCTTGACAGACTTTAAAAAACAACCACCACCCCAGGAAGGTGTTTTAAGAAACATGAAAACTGTACTATGAGGGAAAAGTCCAAGAAAGTTATATCAAGAAAAATTTTTCCAGTTTGACAATGCACCTGTTCATTTCCCAGGGGCTGTCCTGTGAGAATTTTATTAGAAAACCTTATCCTACCCACCCAATTGATCTTAACCATTCACTCTTTAATTGCCAAACAAAAAATATTGAAAAGGAACACAACTTGAGGCACTAAGAATGTCCAAACTACTGTTGTGATGTGGGAAAAGGAGAGAAACACCGCACCGCCTTCAGCAGATGCTAAGAAAAAACTGCTTCACTCTTATTTTCATTAAGTTTCAGTGGTTTTGTGGCAATGTTGTAGTATATTCCATCCCCTCATATATTAAAGAAATCATTCCCAAGTCATTCTACCTTAATAAACTTTTCAAAAACTTCTACGGCTTATTAGTTACTTTTTCCTTTTCTAAAACTATGATTCTCTGTACCAAAAGCAAAACAAACTCAAGACACGGGTGTGTGTGTGTGTGGGGGGGTGGGGGGGTGGGGTATTTGCGCACCAAACTCAGGACTCATCCCAATGGTATAGGACAGAGTACAAGTGCCTCATCTTTCCCACTCGGAGATTTCAAACTGCTGACCTTGAGGTTAGCAGCCCATCAGGGCTCCTATGGTTGTCACAAAAATAAAACAAAACTTAAAGACATTAGCTGTCTTCAAATGGCAGGTTCGTTTTCAAAATTAAGTGAAGGAATGACAAAATCCTTTCTGAAGATCTCAGTTCTATTTCAAGTTATGAGCACAAATTTAGCTACTTAAGCATATGGAACTTTTCCTTCTAAATTCTTTTATTCATTTTTAACTAAATGTGTGCAAGGTATAGTCTCAGGAGCTACAGTATGCACACAGGTCAAGCCTGTTCCCCAATTTAAAAGGAGCGATGGTTCAGTGTAGATTTATATATAATTAAAACTGAAAATTTTTATCTAGAAATAGATGACAGTGCAAGGCAGGAAGATTTTATGAGTTCTGAGTGTTAAATAAGTGAACACTGTGTAATAGCATACTGCCACAGTATGCAGAGCTAACTAACCTACTTAAGACACTGGTAACCACAATCACCTCCGTTTTCTAAGTGGGTTTCCTCATAGTATGGCATAAGGAGCAGAAAAGATCATGAAAGAGCTTTTTGTTAAGTTTTGCCAAAGGTAAGCAATATGCAGATATTGTGCAGGATGGCTCTCCTTTTTAAAAACTTGTTTTATCTGCCCTTTTCCTTAGCTGTCATGAGAAAATCAAAACCTCTTTCACCAGTTGCTGCTATATGGCAAAAAAAGAAAAGTGCATCAAAAAGTTCATGTAACTTTTAAAAATAGGGGGTGGGGGGATTAAAAGATCATGGAATTTTCCTCGTGTTAAGTTCCCTTATGTTCCAAATAATTATACACTTATTTTGTGGCACTGTTCTAGTACATCCCATACCCTCACATATTCGTTATTCCCAGTCATTCTACCTTAATAAACTTTTCCTTTTTTGGCATCAGCCCTCCTACCTTATTAACAGGTGATGGGATCTCGTCTTCTAGGGGCCTTTTTTGCCCTCTCTTTAAAATGCTGGTGGATGGAGAAGCTAAAGGAGACCAGACACAGCGTGCCTGCATGCCAGTAGGACTGCCATTTGTTGGCATCAAGCAAGGGTCGAGTTCCCTTAATTTCTGAGGAGATACATTATCTTCTGTCATCAGCTCAGAGATGGCTGTTTCAGGCGTTAGCAACTGTGGTGGTTCTACTTTCTCTGAAATATTCTGAGCTTCCATTAAAATTTCATTTTTTACTATCATCTGATTGTCATCTAACTTTGTTTCTTCAGATTTATTAAGTTCCGTATTTCTTTCGGTGCTATTCGAGTCCATCCTTCCTTCTTCAGTGTCCATTTCAAGTATGTCGGGAACACAGCTGTCAGTTTCTGTATTTAATACCTCTTCTACAACTTCTTCTGTTTCAGACATTTTAGTAGTCAGAGCTCCAGACGCTAATTCCTTGACATTAGTTTCAACATTCAAGTCATCAATTATAGTTTCTTCACAATTTTCAGTTTTAACAGTCACTTCTTCAAAGGAGCTTGGATCGGATTCATCATGTCCTCCATCAGATTCTCCGACTGCTGCAAATTCAGAAAGGTCAGCTTGTACACTCTCTTGTATCAATGTAACAGTACCCAAATGGCCAATGTCTGAATTGACTTCATCAGCTGCTATGTCTTTAGTGTTCAGATTTTCGGCTTCAGATTCATCACTTCTTTCATTCTTTTCTTCGGTTGCTTCTTCTGCAGATGTATCGGTTTTGGCCTGCTCCTTGTCAGAGACGCTAGCTTCAGATTTGTTGGGTTCTAGATCCATCTCCCTAACTTCTGCTTCCTCTGGATTTGATTCTTTTACTTCAGATGTATTAACTTCAACATTTTCAACTATATTTTCTGGAGTTGGTTCCTTTTTTAGGCTCTCTTCTGTTTTTTCATCTTTAATATCCAAAGAACTTTCCGTGGAAGCATCTTTAGAATCTTCTAAATACAAACCAACTGATTCAAAATTTTTATTATGTGGCTCTTGACTTTCAAAAGATAATGCTTCACTGGAATCCACGTCGCATGTTCCTTTAAAATTAACTGTTTCATAAGAAAGAGTTTCCTGAATAATATTTTCTTTTGAATTCGTTTCCGATACAATTAATAAATCGGTAGTAGTCGTAATCTCTCTCTTGAGACCCAAATGAGAATCCACACTATGCTGCTCACCTCTAAGTTTTACTTCTGAATACAGGTTCTCTTCAGAAATTTCTGATTCAATTACAGGTGTTTGTAAGTCTGTCTGGTTTGTTTCAATAGTCTTTACATCAGAATCTCCTGCGCTCTTTAACCCAATAGATGTTTTTTCCTGTGGTTGTGATTTTTCACCACAGCAATCACAACTCTTTGATCGCCTCACCCTTCTGCTTCTCTTGTGCTGGCATTCAAGAGTTTGGAAAGTTTTCTCAGCAAGCAGTGAACTGTCTAATGGCCCTGTTTTTGAGGATTCTCCTACACTGTTATTTTCTAAAGAATCTCGCCTATGCAATCTTTTATTGGCATTTCTTGTCCTTATACTTGACTCTGGGATAGGTGGACTTGTACAGGAAGTCTCTGCACATTTGTTGGTTTTACTTTTCCCCTCATTTGCATTTGGCACACTATCTACCAATGAATCTGGAGATATTGTAGAATCCTGAATTAAAGTACTATTCTCATCTTTTTTATCACAAGTCTTAGATGTGTCTATTTCAGAACTTATTTTATTGTGTGTCTGATTATCAACTTTTATGCATTCCTGTTTTGCCACTTTTCCTTCTTGATCTTCAAGGCCAACACTGTCGTTGCTTGGGTTTTTCCACTTCCCAGCCCTCTTCTTTTTAGAACCTTCTTCTTTTGCCTCAGCACTTTCAGACTCCGAGTTTTCAATACTGGAAAGTAAGCCTTGAGATGCTCTTCTTGTTTGGGACCGTGTTCGTCCTCTCCTCAATTTCTCAGTAGACTTGTCAACATCCTGGGCACCATGTCCCTCTGACTTAATATTCTCAGGGTTTGGTTTTTTCCCATTTTGGTCCATTTCAGTGGTAGTGCTAGTTTCCCCCAAGCTCTTCTCATGCAAATCATCTTTTTCAATTAAATTTTCTTGAACTGACTGTTCTGATATCAACTGAGGCTTTGGAAATGCGTCCTCTTTTGCATGTAGTGGACTCTTCTGAAGAACCTTTTCTTCTTCCTTATGTTTTTCCTTTTTTTGCTGGCTATTTTCCTTGTCTTGGCTATCAGGGGTAAATTCTACTATTTCTGACCGTCGTCTTAAAGATCGCCTAAGGGTTTTCTGAGGAGCTATTGGAACCTGACTATCCTCCTTTACTGTCGGCTCCCCTGATCTTGTTGCTGGAGGTGTGTTTTCTTTCGACTCCAAATTAATTCCTAAATTTTTCTCATCTGCACTGCTTTCCAATACTACATCATTTTCCACTGTTGGTTTAGGCTTAGCATCTTCATATTCCATTGTGGATTCTGAAAGACCAGCCTGATGATCAGATGCACAGTCTGTTTGACTGAGCAAACCAGGTGAGTTACTTTCTAAGGCTACCATGCTATCAATAGATTCCTGCGTGCTTCTCTCCACTTCAGATCTCAGTACAGGTTTAGATCTTCTATTTCCTGTTTGTTCAGCTTTGCTCGCTCTTCGACCTGACCTCTTCATTCCATTCACTGTTTTTTCCGAATCAGATTTTGAAACAGACACTTCTCTTTTCTTTGTTTTAGGTGGAGGATCTGCTTTAGCTGGGCTTTCCTGTTTTCTTTTCATTGAAATGGTCGATGACATATTGCTTAAGGGAGATGGGCTAAAAGGCCTATTTTCTGAACCATCAAACTTTTCCAAGGTAATAAAGGTTTGCCTTCGGCTTGTTGGCTGCGGAGGAGTTCCAGAAATTGTAGCATTAGAAACTGAGCTGCTGTTGCTGCTGTCACCAAATGTATTCTCTGCATGAGAGGCACGCTCAGTTGAAGTTTTCTTCAATGGAAGAGATTTTTTCCTGGAATCATTATTATTGCTTAATATTTCGTGGTTAGTTTCTTTAACAGAACCACCTTCTTTATTTGAAAGGGAAGCCCTTTCAAGATGCTCATCCACATCAGTTTTTTCTGTGACATTTTGAGGAAGGATACCACCTTCCATTTGCTCCTCCTCCTACAAAGAAATGTATATAGACTAATCAGTTAACAAAATCCAACGTTGTGGGTGAAATTTAATGGAAAACTTTAATTCAACAAGCAACTAATGACATTTAGTATAGTGTAAATACTCCAAAGGTGGTGACCTCCACTCCCTGCCACTGAGTTGATTCCAACTCATAGCAATCTCTAGAGGACAGAGTAGAACTGCCTCCTAAAGGTTTCTGACATCCTCATTTTTCTCCTGCAGAGAAGTGGGTGGGTTTGAACTGTTGACCTTATGGATAACAGAACAACACCCAATCTGCTGCAATTCTCACAAATTCTTACTTGGAAACATGCCATTAAAAGCTAAACAAATTTAATGTAGTTAGGTATGTTTATAAACCACACACATAATTCTCTTAAACTTTGCTAGTGAATATTGAGATTACAGTATTAAATCCAAAGTTTTTAAAATGAACCAATAAAAAGAATTTTTCTACAACGCAAGAGATCACATAATAGAAAGATGATTATATAAAATACCTTCATCTTCACCGTAAAATCATCCTTTGGTTTTTCTGTTATAGTAGGAATTTCCCTGAAGTAATAATAACATAAATTAGAATATTAACTATCTAAAAATTTAGAAAACCAGTTATGAAAAGTTTAATGGCTTCCATACTTACATGGACTCTTCCTGACTATACTGAGAAAACAGGGTATCTTGCGAAACATCTAAAGTATTATACATGGCAGGAATATCAACCCTGAAAAAGATTTTACATATAAGTAACTTACAAAATCAGATAACTATTTCTCTATAAGACATTTAACGTTAAAGGATACCATCAATTTGCCTTTTAAAACAAAGTAAAATCAGCTTAGACTGTCCACATTTTGGAGGGAAATATTTTCTCTACATTTCCCTTATACCAGAAGTAAAGTAATTTAAGATGTTGGTAAGATATTAGGCCGTTTCACATATTGTGATATGCAGTTGTGCATGGTACAGCTTTAGTATATAAAATACTTCAGTTGTAAATGCAAATTTACTTCGCAATGTGAAATCTAGGAATACAGAAATCTAAGTATCAATTAAAAATTAAAAGCCCACAAACCTCTTTGTTTTTAGCACCTCTTTTTGATGCTCTGTTAGTATTCTTTCCTTTGCTTCTTTTCCTTGTGGAGGTATGAAGACAAAGTCAATAGACTTTTCTTCTTCCAACAGAATTTCATTTTTCAATTTTGTAGATGAAGATTCCATTTTCAACTGTAGATTAAGAAAAAGTAGAACTAATTTTCCAACACATCACTTTACCTTTTAGCAACTTACATAGTTTTCAACATTAACTTTGGTGTTTAATAAGTCTATGCAAATAGCACACAAACCCCTCAGTTTTGTTTCTGCCTTCAATAAAATAATCAAGCCTGAGGGAGACAAAAAAACCAGATTCTTTACAAAGCAAACCAGTCTGGTTCACCTAAAAAGCATTGAGTGGGTTTCAAAAACTTCATGGAAAATTTTATATTTTCTTCCAATTATACTCCTTCAAAAGGGTTAGAATTTTTGAAGCCCTCTCATGCTTTTTGTTGGTTGTTCAATGCTATCACATATTTAACTACTCTGGCAGGAAAGTGTATCCATTCTTAGGATAATGCAAGACTACTTAAGTTACATACCCTACACGAGTTTATCAGTAACTTTAGTACTGTTACCCTCTTAAGTTTTCCATATAACTAGCATTATTTTCATTCCATTTTAAGTGGCTAAAAGTATGTCAGAAGTATTCTTCAAAATAACATTCTTCTCGAACAGTTTATTTCCCCAATGCATGCTTTCATGGTTCAAAAACATGTCAATTGAAGGCTGCCTGCTACCAATTTATACTGAAATGATTTTCATGATGCTGGAATCTAGACAAACAGAAAGGCCTGAAGATCTGTTTCCACAAGACCGGTTGATGAAACCCCCGTGGAACCCTTAGACTGGAAGACACTCATAACACAAGTCACTGCAACGACAGACTCATGCAGTCTGATTCTAGTATGTGTGGAGTCGCCAAGAACCAAAGCCAATTTAATGGCAGTAAACATTGTTGTCTGCTAATAGGTCAGCTAACAAAACACTTCGTTTTTGATCAAAGTTAAAACATGTCTTATGTAGGTATGAATTCACTTCCTATCCTTACATTCTCAAATGTTTCTCCTCTTATGCTATCTTCAGTTATTCACACAGTAACTCTCATGACTACTACTATTACACAGACTTATTCAACTTTCTACAGAAGAATCATCTCAAGAATTTTAAATTCCCATATTTTCCTGTCTTTATAGCCCAACCTATTATTCTTGTGATAATGCCATCTATTATTTATAGTTTTACATCTTTTGCTTTCAATTAAAAGTGGGATGTCCTCAAACTACCATTTTTTTCAAAAAGTTCTAATAAACACACTTTAAAAAAACATACTTTGACCGGTGGTTTCACATTTTCTTTAGCATCCTTTTTCTGTGCCAAAAGGGATTCTCTTTTTCCATTTGATTTTATTTCCATGCCACTTATCTTCACACTTATCTGTGAATTTTCTGACTTTTATTATAAACAAAAAATAAGAAACATAATTTCAATAAGCACACCTGTTTTTGTTTGCTTTGTCCTATCCCCACATTGAAAATAACTTCAATATAATACACAATCAAAAACATGTCAAATATCTGATTACTTAAGCCTTTACTATCATGTCAAACAAAATAATATCATTTAATGGAAAAAGGAAACACACACAAAACTTACTGCATCTGAATATGGTTCACTGGATTCCTCCATAGTTTCAACATTTTCCAAACCAGGCAACAGAAGCAAAAATTTCTGTTTAGCTTGCCTTAGTACTGATCTTTTAAAAAAGTACATATATACACACACATTTTAGTCAAATAGTACTGGCAGTTACCAATAATAAATTAACTTAAATAATTTAACACTAGCTAACTACATTTGGATTAAACAATGTTTCTTACTAAGTACACACAAGTCTGGAAAACAGGAGGTAATATAAAGTTTTATCAAACGTTTCAAATAAAAGTAGAGTACTACATACAGTTGCAAAATCTATCAATTTCCTACCCTTCTTGTTACAGCTTTAAAGGATAATGAGTAATTATAAATGACCATTTCCCCCTAAAATCATGGTTACCCTAAGCCGAAAACCAAGTAATGATTAGTCATTATCACACATGCCAAACATTTGAACTATAAAATTCTGTGATAATTTCCCACAGATTAGTTAAAAGTAGAAATAATTTACAGTATCACAATAGAACGGTTTATAACAGTTTTGTTATTTAGCATACTTTAACTCTTCAGGATAAATCAACATCGGCCCTTTAGCAAATGTGGAATTCCAGAAATGAGCACTCTGTTTTTGAATCTGTTTGCTCTTGTGCAGAAATACTATGCACAATAATGGGGCGAGCTGTTCAAGAAATTCACTGTCATAAGTTCCAGTGTAGTTGGACTGTAGAAAAGCAATAATTTCTCCAAGTAACTTTTCGAACTAGGAAAAAAGAAATGTCTGTTAGGATAATGTATCGATAATTACTCTTAAAACAAGAGAAAAATTAAAAGCACAACACATACTAGGCACCAATATACCTAACACATTATTGTATAAATTTTTAAAATTCAACTGGTTTTTAAGAAAGCCACTATCCACCCCTTACACACACCTGTATGCTGTTTAAAAGATAATCAAACTATTAATATTAGCACTGATTTATAACTATTTTTCATTAACAGAAAAGATTGCTTTAACATTTTGTTTGTGTTTAACAAATCAGTAGACTGTCTCACTCACTGACTCACTGCCTCACCCTCACTCACTCATGACTGACTCACTCACTGCCTCACTCTCTCTCTCTCACTCACTGTCTCACTCACTCACTGACTCACTCTCACTGTCTCACTCACTGTCTCTCTCACTTCCTCACCCTCACTCACTGACTTACTCTCACTCACTCACTGTCTCACTGACTGACTCACTCTCACTCACTCACTTGACTCACTCTCACTCTCTTACTCACTGACTCACTCATACTCTCACTCACTGACTGACTGACTCACTCACTCACTGACTCTCTCACTGTCTCTCACTCTCACTCACTCACTGACTCACTCTCACTGTCTCTCTCACTCAATGACTCACTCTCTCAGTCTCACTCACTCACTGACTCACTCTCACTGTCTCTCTCACTTACTGACTCACTCTCTCTCTCACTCACTCTCACTGTCTCTCTCACTCACTGAC